ACAGATTCTGGAAGTAGACACTTCAGGCTATCTTTCCATGTGTGTATCTTAAAACCGATTTTTTGACCGAAAATCACCATTTCTGAGGGGGGGGGGCCCTTAAGGCTGGTTTGAGAGAAAAAATATCGCTCAGCCCACCGCAGCTGAGGGTGACAGTTACGCGTTTTAGCCGACTATCCTTATTCGATCTGAAATAGGCTGATATAATATAATCTATAAATATCTAGAATGATATTTTGTTCTAGTATGTGTGGCATCTGGCTCAAAAATAGCATTATTCAATCGTTTACGTTCACAAAATGTTAGCACGGTATAAATGACTATATTCTATGCATCAAATAGATCATTATTATGAACTGAGTATCATTTATTGTAGCGTTATTTACACGTTGAAAACAATAATTTTCATGCAAGTGCACACGAATGGGGATCATTTTTTATACATTTAATTGATGATGAACAAAGTGAATCGGAAAAATTTAGTTGCAAAGATGGTAAGATTAATATACGTATTACTGTATCGGTCTCAATAAGCTTTATTTTTATATTGTTTTTAGGATTTGTGCAATATGGTTCAACTGTTAAACTCGTATGTTGTGTAACTGGATTAGCATTACCAAGACTGGTAAATTTCAAAAGTTTTTTTAAGACATTGTTTAGCTGCTATAAAATTGAAAATAGAGACTACTTTAAAGTTCATTTTAGCTCGACATTGTCCTATGATGTTAAATTTCAGTATATATTTAATTTTAGATCGTGAGAAAAGTTGATAAAAATCGTGTATTATTAGATTCAGACGAACCTGTCTCACAACTTCATAAATGTGCATTTTATTTTAAAGATTCTGATTTATTATATTTGTGTTTAGTACAAGAAAAAATTGTTCAAAGTCCGGTAAGCAACGATTATATTGGAAATATTCAATTAAGTGAACGATTTATATTATTATCTTGTAGGCACGAACGTGCTCAAAAGAGCCATTACGTCAAATAATAAATGATGGCGCGTGTTGGACAATAATATCGACAGATAAAGCGGAGTATACGTGGTATGAAGCAATGGGACCATTACCATATCAAGTAGCACCTGTACCTGTTGCTTATTCACTTATTGTTAACGGTGGCGGAGAAGCAGCCATGATTGAAATAACCGGTGATAATTTTTTTCCTCACATTAAAGTTTGGTTCGGAGATGTTGAATCACCAAATACAACTGTTCGGTATGTATTCTAATTAATGATGATAATTCATTTCATATTTACACGTATTGACTATTCGAACCTAGTACGATATACCAGCAATGGCAGCAGTACGGTAGAAAATTCTTTCTGACTTTAAATCACTCTATTTTCATTTAGTTGTCAACAGACTATTATGGCTGTTGTACCATCAATATCAGATATTCGATCTGATTGGCAATATGCTATGCGACAAACTCAAGTAGGTGTTGAAAAAATAATTTTATATTTTAAAACAATATATGTTATTATGTATATTTTAGGTACCAATATCATTTGTGAGATGTGATGGTGTTATTTTTCTAACTAGTTTAACATTTACTTATACACCAGAGCCAGCTAAACGTCTTACATCACCGCGTTTATCACAAATTATGCAAAATCGATCAACAGTTGGACTTTTTAATTCTATTCAAAATCGACTGCATGATTATAGGGATGATGACGATGATGATGATGATGATGATGATCACAATTCTTGTAATTCAGCACCAGCAACTTCGCAAATGTTGGATGAACTATCTTAATACCAAAAAAAAAAACTATTTTATAAATATTTATTTGCATCATGTATATTATATTGTGAAGTTTTAGTAATTAAAAAATAAATATTTGTACTCTAAAATTCACTCAAAACAATTGATAGCAAAATGCGAACTAAGCATTTTATTTATTCAAATAAAAATGTATCATGAAAAAAACGTCAAATAGTTATTTACTTTTTTATTATGCCATTGGCAAACTGAAATTTTGTTACTTTTGGAACATAACGTATTGTTAGCGAAACTCTTGTAGTACGTTTTAGTCTATTGCCAAGTTGTACAATTGATTTGTCACATAGATCCAAATTACAAATATCATTTGTTATTTCGTCTTCATTGAGTTCACGAATGCCATGCAAATAATTCTTATACATATCATTCATTACAAGAAATAGCGAACGTGGTTCTAATAATACGGAGCATATACGACGTGACTGAATATTAGATACCTAGAAAACAATAAATCTAATCAGTACTATATAAATTATAAAATAATACAGAAAAAAACAGCTTTGTAAGTTGAGAGTAGAAAAACTATGAAAAAAACGTATTCATTCATCTCATTATCTTGTATTTATATGACTTCAAGTTCAGCGCTGCATCATCAATTTTTTTGTGTTTTTTTTCCTTCTGAAAGTCAAATGTGTATATAGTACAACCAAAAGGATTTTTCAATCTTTATGAGAAATGATTGGTTTTTTCCTTCTCTTTGAACATTTGTAGCTGCATGTTTCAAAAAGTGAGATATTTGAACTTCTGCTGAGAACTTAATAAGAATTGGTCTAATAAACATGCATCAATATGAATTGTTCTAGTTTTACATTATTTAGACAGATATCAGGAATAGTAAACATACCGTTTCTTCACGATTTTCTTCTTCATCATTGATAGTACGATAAAATTCAATTATTGTATGTGAGTTTAAAGATATTGTTGAGACAACAGGATAATACAGTGGACCATCGGTATGTGGCATGATTCCTTGATTTGGTAAGTATTCATTGATAAGACAATGATTTGGAATAAATGATTGAAATACTCCTAAGTTGACAATACGTTTTGTAAATATATCTAACCATGTTGGAAGTGTTTCAGTAACAATCATTCCTTTTGAATGTGGCTGACCACCCCAGTTTTGTAAACGTCGATTGGCAAGTTGTTTCCATCGTGTTTTGGGAACATTATTAACACAATTTAAAAGACATTCTTCTTCATCTGTAGAAATAAAATTTGGTATATAATATAATGTATTGGGAACATTTTCCAGTTTATAGTTATTAATTGAAAATAACATTTCGTTTATATCACAGTTATTGTTTGCCATCTCTAAATGTCTTATAGAAAAATCAGTGATATTTATATTAATATCATTTTAAAATTATCTATAATCCGTAAAATGTTGCTGTCTATCCCAGTTAAATAAAATTTTCATATTCAACAATGTTTTGAATTAAATTTTCGGAATAATAGACCAATCAGACTAGAAATATTGAAAAATGTATGCTTTGTTAAAAATAAACATATTTATGAACAGTTTTTTTATTGCTCAGATATATCTTGCCAATTTGTTTTGTTGTCGTTTTATTAGCAGAGCTATTATAAAAAATGTACACTGTACACGTTCAAAGTACTGTATAACATGAATGCAAAATTATAAACAATTCAAATTAGAAAGAAAAATATATATATATATATATATTCGTTAACAATATCATACTTGAGAAGAAAAAAAAACTAACAAAGAATTCTACTAGGCAAGACACAACAAAAACGATTAGAAAAAAAAACAGTAGCCTGACCAGCTCGCTTATATATATATATATATATATACACACAATCAAGTATTGTTAAACTACAAAGTGAGAAGAAAGAAAATAGAATGTGGTTGTATAACAAAGTTTTATCAAACTGTAATTATAAATTCTTTTTATTGACAGAAAAATAGCAAACCTATTAGTTTCCTAGAACGGAAAATAACTAATAAATAAAGAAAAGATTAGGTACATTTAGTCGTTCTTAGAAATATATTGCTGTATCAGAACATCGCCATTAGTCGTATCATTATTATCCATATTGTTATTAGAGACGAGATTTCGACCACCATCAATTATTGATATATCTGTTGTTGTCACTATGAAATAGTATTAAATAACAGTTAGATTAATATTTCTAACTGAATATAAATTGTTACCTGTTGTGCGCACAGTGCCCATTGTTGTCGTTCCTGCTGATTTTTGTATTGTTCTTTTTACAAATATTTTACGTTGTCTTTCAATTTTTGTTAGAGCATTTTTCAAATTGAAAAATACTTTTTGACATTCACGCATTTGATCTTTAATATGTTGTAAACGTTCTTCACCATCAAGATCATTATCTGTAATTAAAAACAAAAACAAAAGATTATATTGAATATATGAGGACAAATAAAATAACTTACTTAAATCAAGAAAATTATATCTACTTGGACGATTTTTAAACATTTCTTCCAATTGGTGACGAATAGTATTGTTTACCGGTGAATTCGATAGAAAATCATCATTTTCATAATCTAAATACACTCTACTATATCGAAAACAAAACAAACATATTCAGTAGTTTCTTACCATGTTGATTGACCAACTTTTTATTACGTCGTCCGTTTGATCGATAGCGTTTAGCTGGAAAAAAAAACACAAGTTTAAGTAATTTTGAGATAAAAAGATGAAATACACTTACAACGTTCATCTCTCGCATCATTTATATCAAATGATCCAATCGTAGAATTCGATGTATATAAATTATTGATAGTTTGCTCATAATTATCCGTGATTGAACTAAGAAGTTTCAATTCTCTATTATCATTTTGATTTTGTAACATTGTCAAACTATCGACTTTTGACTTTTTTTTTGAATTACTATTGTTATAATTGGAACAATTTGTATTTGATTCTCTTAATGAACGACGTTTTTGTTGACGAACAGATGAACGTCGAGAACTGGTCGCCATTAGGTTAGTAGGAATAGGAATTTGTATTGGTTGTAACGGTGGTTGCTTTAATAAGGATTCCTGTTCTTGCTGTTGTTTAGGTTCTTGTATCGATATCATCAATGGTTGTTGTTCTAATTGATTACAAATTTCCGTCGATTCTGCTTTAATAGATAACGATGTCTCATGATTGTTAAAACTAAAAAAGCAAAATAAAAGTATGCAAAATAACTGTTTCTGAAAATATCCTTACGTTTCCATGTGTGTGAAAGGTTTCAACAAATTATTATCGTAATCTTGTTCTTCTTTAACAATTGGTTCGTTCTAAAGTATAAAAAAGAATGTAACAATTTCGTTTCTTCAAATTTTCTCATATTAGAAATACCTTAATAGACGTGGTGATAACCGTCGCTTGAACGGAAGATTCTTGTCGTTGATCATGATCATTTTTTTTGCTTGTTGATGGACTAATATTATTTTTTGCTTCTTTTAAAAGTGATAAATCGTGTTGTTGTTTTTCATCTTCTTCATCACCATCATCTTCACATTCATTTGTTTCAATCATATTACGATAAATATCGTTAGATATTGTTCGTCGCCGAATTTCATCTTTATATGACTGTTTTTGTTCTATTTGACATAAATTGCTTTCTTCCAACTCGTTATTTGGTAGATCATGTACGAGAAGTTTTTGATCACTGTGAATGAACAACAGATGTGTGAAAAATTGGTGAAAATAATGAGGAAATAAGGATTTTTACCTTATGCTTGTATTTGATTCGGTTATTCTTCTCGTTACTATTGAAGGATTTATTATTGAAGAAACATCACTGAAACGATCTTCGTCATCATCATCTTCCTCTTCTGGTTTATATGATGCTGAAGAAATCGAAGATATTTGAGTAGATAACAATGAAATCACGGATTGTGAAGGATTGATGGTTTTTTCTTTCGTAGTTTCTTCTAGAGAATGAAAACATTCTAATTGTTCTTCATGTTGTTCGATGCTATCTAATTTAGTAATGTCATTTTGAATGTCTAATTGTTTTTCATCCATAACTACTGTTACTGGAATTGCTGACGATGAACTAATATCAACTATTGTTGATGTTATAGATGACGAAGGTGAATCAACAAATGATTGACGTCTCGTATTGGGTGTATACACTTGACTTGTGCGACGACGACGAATAGGCCATACACTTTGATCACATAATTCAACAACCTGATTAGGTGATATCCATTCGTCATACCTTAAAACAAATAAACGCTTTTACATACCTGAGCATTCATTCAAAAAACCTATACAAGATAAATTTGAAGGTAGTTGAAAGACGTTACATTGCAAGTGCTTGGCATCTTATTGTTTACACTTTAGCAAAATACGTTTGTTCCTCGAACGATTTTACCCTAAAGTTTCTCTGTGACACTGATTGTACATGCATAAGATTGGAAGCATATAAATATCTAAGAAATTATTAATAACATGTAAACAAAACAAACCTTGAATTCCAACCATTATAATGTACAAACAATTTCCCAGTTTTTTCATTTTTTTCCATACATTTTGCTACGTATGGTTTTCCGTTTGAATTAATACCCCAATATACACTTAATATATCATTTACTTTGATGTCGTTAAACGACATACCACCTGACCGATTTATATCGTTCATGTCAAGAATATTTGAACTTGCGTTTGTTGTTGCATCTGTATAATTGCTTAAATACTCATGTTTATTCGGCGATGGTTTTTCTGATCGATTCAGTGAATGTTTATGTACACTGCTCGTACTACTACAGAAAAAAAATACACAAACAATAAATTATCAACAATTAATTTAGATCAATGTTTACCTTAATGTTTCTCCGCTTTCTTGTGACGACAAGGAGCGTCTTAAACGTTTTGCTGGTGGTTGATGTTGATCATCGGCTGATAATTTAGATATGATACCAATATTTTCATCTTGACAATTTGAAAAAGATGATACATAGAGTAAATCTGGACTATTACTAGTATTTTCAGCACTATTATAACGACGTTTCTTTGACTCTTGTACCTCGCCGTTATCCTCATTTTCATCAAAGGTATAGGCATCAACATGACTATTTATTGATGGAGGATAATCTGAGGTTGCCGTACTTGGGCTTAATAACGGATTCGGTATCGTTTGATGAATGTGATCGTCTGTAGGATAAGGTTTGGCGGATGGATGCGTGACGGTCATTGTGGGTGTTGGTATAAGAACAGTGCCTATGAAAAAAAATCGCTAACCCTTTCAATATTGTGCAAATTGAGATAAAAACGATTAGTAAAAGTTCGTCGGTATTTAGGCATGCATCGAATCCGAGTGCTGCTCTATACTCTGCACTCGCCTGTTTTCACCTATTATTAAAAAATTCATAATTCACTCAAAAAACATGAGAACGAGTTCAAAACTTCAGGATATACACTGTTTACGCTGTTTTATATTCTGCTTATAAGAAATCAACAGAAAAAAATTTATAAAACCCTATAGTTTTCCGGATGGGTTCCTGGAAAACCTTAGAACAAGATCATTATTTTTTAATTTTTTCGATTTTATAATCACGTCTAGCGGGTCCTGAAGTTTTTGACTCGTTCTGATAGTTTTTGAGTGAATTACGAATTTTTTAATAATAGGTGAAAATAGGCGGAAACCCAAATTTTTGAAAAACTTGGTTTTTGCCAGATTTTAACATCTTTTTTAAAAAAAATACCACAAGATTTAGCATAGTCGAAACTTATGTTTTCATGCATTGCTGAGATTCATTGACCGAAATGAAGAGCAGTCCTAGGGATCCCACGAAAACCTCGTGCCTTGCGTAACCATAGTAGATGAAGCTTTCGCTTAGGTTCTGTTTTGTGGAGGACACTTTAGTCTATCTATTTATGAAAAAGAATCAATATATTGCTATGTCAAATTTACCAGTTAGGAAACAAGAGATCTCTTGAAAACCGGTTTTTAAAAAATATTTCTAAATATTTTCTGCTTACGAAAACATGGTCTTAAATCGTGGCTATCGAAACAGTGAAAACCGCGAGTCTTCCTCGTATTCTTATTCAATACTTATTCAAAGAATGACCACCGATCTTATATTTTGGTTTCGATAATAGGCTTAACGAACAATTGAATAGTATCGAGTACTCGGCTCGGTGCATGCCTGTTGGTGACATTTCTACTGTTGCACTACGGCCGTAGGTTAATGAAACTATCATGAACAGAGGTTAAGAAACCAAATTGAATACCTGTTGTATAAGACATATTTGTTGAGAATGGTACATGATGTTGACGGGAATTTTCGTTCATTTGTTCGTCATGGTAGTGAAAATTTGTATTTAAGGTCAATGTTGGTGCTCCTAATTGTTGTTCTTGTGATACCGATGGTGAAGGGGATGTTGGCTTTATTTGAATACTTTCTGTATCATGCACTTGTTTTAATTGATTACTATTCTGATTTTTGCTACGAAATATTTTACCTTGAGATGATAAATTATCACTGACTTTTGCTGGTTCAATATCTGATGCCGAAGATGTAGACGTTGTTCTTGATTTTCTTATGGATTCTTTGTTCCATGTCTTATGTTTTTCAATTTTCTTCTGAGAATTAATGACTGGTTTTATTTTTGATGCATTCGCATTCGAACCTTTGTAGAAGAAAGAAAGATAAAAGTTATTGAGCGGATAGATTGAAGTTATCTTACTTGTTTTTATTTTCTCTTGTGGATTAATTTTTACTAAACGTTGTTGGGCATTCAGTATCTTATCTTTCTCATTTTTCTTTTTATCGGCGACACCGGTTGAAGAAGACAATTTTCTACAATAAAAAACCAACAATAAAACATTCACCTAAGTGGTTATCTACACTTACACATCTGTCATATTTGAAACTTTATGTTTAAATTCGTCACTGGATTGATTCGTCTTTATTACTGGTGTTGTTGACACTTTTTGGTCTTTGAGTAAGGATGCTTTTGTGTCCTTTTTACTATTATCACTATTTGTCGACGATGATTTGACTTTTTTTGACGATGAAGACTGATTAATATTTGATCGATTTTGATGTTGTTGTATCTTAACTGAACTAGATATATTTTTAGGTATTTTTTGTTGTTCAGATGAATGTTTAGTGATAACATGATCAGATGAAGATGTGGAGACCGGACGAGAGGCTGCTGATGCTTTTGATACTAAAAATAAAAAAAATAAACATCATCAATGAGCTCAATGTCCTTTAAACTCACGATGTCTTTAATTTCGATAGTGGAAGAGCTAGATTAGACAGACTTTCTTGAAAATTTGAGTCTGATTGATGTACGAAAGAAAAGTAATCTCGTCATTTATTCACTTTATCAGTCATGTTTTACTATAGAAGTGTGAAAAGCGCTTTGTCGCAGATACTTACAAGATCCATCTGTATTATTATTCTTTTCTATCGTTAATTTATTTTTTGGTACTGTTAATTTTGTTGGCAATGATATTTTGTTATTAGTGTTCTCTTGCTTCACTACTACGTGGGAGGATGTTTTAGAATGTTCACTGATCGATTTTGATGGTTGCTGTTGTTTACTTGAACTAGTCAGTTGATGCTGTTGCTTTTTAAAGCGTTCATTTTGATCGACCGATATTTTCTGTTTGGTAACATTCACTGAACTTGTTGTGGCTGTTTTCCCTGACAACTTTTGGTTGTTTACAGCTCCTTTTTCATTTTTATTGTTTGTATTTGTTGGTATCGATATCTTCTTTGATGTTGTTGCCACATCAAGAACTTTTCTTTCAACTTTTGTATGTGGTTCATCTTTGATTTGGATGTTATCTTTTAACTTTGGTTTGATCGATTCATTATGCACTGTCTGCGATTTAACTGGCAGTATGTTAAGTTTTTTTGTTATCTCATCGGTGGGTTTCGTGATAATCTTTTCTGTAACTGGTTTTAATATTTTTGTCATTTTTTTCACGCCTGTTGCAGATTTTATGAAAACGTCTCTCGATATTAATTCTTGTTGTTTCGGCGTCATGCCATGATTGAGTATTTTCTTCTTTTTATTATATCGACGTTTTGTTTCCTGAGATTCATGGGAACGATCGGATGACGAATCAGAGTGAGATGAAGAAGCGGAAGACGATGACGAAGTTAATTTTAGTTTCGTTTTTCGACGAATTGTCTTTTTTTTTGTTTTGCTTGGCTTATCTACGTCACTATCTTCGTTTCGATCGTTGTCACTATGAGATATACGTTGTTTCTTCTTTTTTGATGAGACATTTATGCCTGGTGATGGTGATCCTTTTTCCGTTGATTCTGAACCACGATTGCGATGTGAAGCGGATGATGAATCATTTGTTGCTGTACTGCTTTTACGAGCCTGAACAAAGTACCGAATTCAACAGCAAAAGATTAATTTTATTTCTGTGAAATATATACGCTTATTACTCAGGATATACAAGATATTATGGTAGTCTAAAACTGGTTTCCACATAGTAATATAGAACTACAAATTTTAACGAAGATATCGGTAGTTGTTTGACCGAAGCAGATTTTTTTCTCTTAGCAGAAGTGATCTAGATCAGCAACTAAAACTGTACACGAACTATGTGCTTTTAATTTTTGGGCTATCATGTGACTTTTTCGATTTTTCTCATAGAAGTTATACTTACTCTTTTTTTGATTGGTGCTGGTTTCTCTTGTACACGTACGCGCATTAAACTGCGTCTTGATTCACCCATGTAAGTATTTTGTCCATTCATTGAGCCTAGTTTTTTTAATATTTCTTCGTAAGAAAGTAGATATCTTTGAAAATATAAAGAATAATGACAGATAAACCAGCTGGGATTTCTCCAACGTTTCTCACTTCTTATAGGCATTTTCAATCACATGTCCATTATTTGCACTACTTAATGACAAACCCATTTTAATATGTACACGACGCCATTTCTCGTTTTTTGTAACCTATAAACACGAAAATAATTATCCTTCAATTGACACAAGATATAAAAGAACTCACCTTATTATAACCACCCATTGAACGTACAACTTTGAATAATCGATGTAAATCCAGGTCACAATTGCTTACTTTCGGTATGTTGTTTATAGGAGTTCCTAAAATTATTGTTCATGCTTAATTCATCAGAGAAATGTGAAAAATTAGTGTGGATTTAGAAATAATAAAATTTTAATAAAATAGTGGAAACGCTTACCTCTGTCATCCATAAATGCAAATAATTGTGCAACAAACGAATCTTTTTCTTCCACCGTTTCATCATCCGATTGACTATCATTAAAATCTTCTTCCGATTCACTATCAATTTCATCATCGTCACTCAAATTATTCATTAAAGTTTGCTCATCATTTCTTGTCAAGTTTTTCTTATCTGTCCATATTTTTGGAATAATACCCTGTTTTAAATATTTTTCACATGCAATAAATGCTTGTTTCGATGTTGAACGTATTAAATTTTGTATATCACTATTATTATGATATGTATGTATTTCATCGCGTGCAATCACATACTCGCGTCCATTTAAAAAACTTTTTATCCATACGTAATCAGCTAATGCTTTACGTTTCAATATTAAACCAGGAAAACAAATTTGCTGTGACTGTGTTCCAGTTGCTGTTGTTATTGGTTTTCGGCGTACAGCAACAATTGACTCAGGCTGGATAGGTTTTGAAGTTGTTATTAAACTATCAGTTGACAACGAAGCACTTGGCACTGCTGACGACGTAACCGTTGCTTCTGGTATTTCGCTTAGTACTTTCTTTTGATGATGGGTGGTTTGCTGTGATGAATAGAGGCGTATACCTAAGAGAAAAACAAAATTAATCAATCTAACATGTTTCTTTCACATCTAGATAAGAAATGTTACTCTTTGTTGTTTCAACTTCTCTATGAAAAAATAATGTAACGTTTCGAAAATGTTATACCTTGTACGCATAATGATGATCGTCTTAAAGATTTTTCATCACCGTCATCAAACACTACCGTGTATAAACTATTATCGTTTATTTGTTTAATTACTGCTTGTTTTTCTTCGCCATAATGTGATGTATTTGTTCGATGATTATGATTACTTGAATTTGAATCGTTTGATGTACGACGATTAGTTCCAGCGATCTTTACCGTAACAGTATTGCCAATTTTTAATGTACCAGCGATTATTTGTTCTTCATTAATACTCATTTGTTCTCCGCTATCACAAATAGATACTTTTACTTTAACTTGTTTATCAACTGTTTTAACAATTGCTTCACAAAATGCACCACGGTATTTAGCACTAACGGAACATCCAATAGGTAAATAAGCAAGTTCTGTTGAACCATTATTAATATTGTTGTTGCTATTAAGATTGTTATAGTTTCCACTTTCATTTGCACGATTATCATCATTAATTATTGTTTGAGATACTGACATAGTTGTAATATCGTCAACTACACTCATTTTGTTAATTTATCATTCGTCAAGTATTCGAGTTTAAATTTCTTTTACGCTTCTTTGTAGACATATTTTACGTCTCAATCAAAAGATCTAAAATTGAATGAAACTCGTATGTACATATATTCAAGTTCAATAATATTAAAAAGTAGAGAAAGTATGTACGAGGTATTACTAGACCTATTATTGACATAATGATTCTGACTTTAAGGAAATCGACTGCCGCAAAAAATAATATTAAGTAGAACAGATCAAAGAGAGATATAATAAGAATCTTGTGTAAAAAGCAAATATAAAGATAACAATATAACAAAATAGAAACATATTAACAACAACTAGAAAGATCATGTTGGATTTGTTGTTAAATCTTTGAAACGTTCTTTACAATGACACAATGAATTTTCTAGAAAAATAAACACACAATATATCATTATAAACTGAAATTGAAGAAATATCTTCAGAAGGAAGCCAAACGAATTTTTATACAAACTATATAGTGTACTATATTAATTTGTGCTCAATTACTTGTACTGAAACACCGCTCAGAATCTCAGTTATTGAATCCAGTCCATTTTCTAAAGCTAATTAAACAAAAGTAAATATCAACAACTTACCACTACAGCATACTGAAGTAGACGTATCATCTAGCGAAGAGATAGACATTTTTTCCGTATCTTCTTTATTCTTTAATTGTTTTCTGAGTCTCTCCGTTTTTCCAATTCCTAATTTAGGAAGTCCACGATTTAATCCTTCAATAAGTACACAGGCTTTACACACGGCCATTGATGAATAATAGTTACATCGTTCGCAATTTCTTTGTGTAGGCATCTTACAATTACTTTTTATTATTAATTGTTCTCCACTATGTATAATATCGATAATTGCTGATGGTCTTAGACGTTCTAAATCTTTGATATATGTTCTTACATTACCTCGATAGGCATTCGGGGAATATAAACATTCGGTTGAAAAATAATCTAATTTCTTGTAAAATGCATACAGTACAATTTCTTTTTCATAGGCATATTTCAACGGTTTACAACGAGGAACAAATTCAATCTCTGTTTCATTATCCCCACCAGTAATAATGGCTGTACATCGTTTTAAACGTGCTATATCACCACGCAAAATATTCATTAAAATAGTTTCCGCTATATCATCAGCATTATGACCGGTTGCGATTTTATTCACATTTAATTTCATTGCACCACGATCTAATGCTTGACGACGAAATACACCGCAAAATGTACCTTTACAATACGAAAAACAAAAGAAATTATTAACTTGCAACAGCGTCATTTGAATCAACGAAACACATACAATTATTTTTCAAGCCAACGACTTTAACGATTTCATCCTGAAATGTTAATAAAAACCTTGATAAATCTATATATATAAAGAAGTGTAGAGTGGATGCAATGATAGCTACGTTATGATATATCTCTACGAAGAAGAATGTTTGTCTGTCTGTACGCTATACATTCAGTTCCTGCGATAGCTAAGGTCACCGAACTCTCCACATTAGTTGCTTAGGTTTCAAGGAAAGTTGAAAGAGGGTCGACATGGTCATCGGGAACGGGTAATAGGGGCCTAGGTGAAATTTCACACAGGTCATCCGACACGGCGACTTTTCCCAATTCTTCATCAAATGACAAAACTTGCTGTGAATTCGAGACTGAACCTCTCCTACTGCCACTTAACCTTATCAAACGTAGGTGCGGCACAAAGGGGCGACCATCGGCCTGTGTGAACAACACTTTATACCTGACTGCTCTGTGCGCATTTGATCTCGGTTGCAACTCGGTTGCAGCACTGGACGGCATGTGTGAACTATCACCTGGGCGATGGGTACTGTAGCTCTGTGACGACCAGCGTCACTGAGTCTCAACACAGTTCTATTTAATATACTAGAAGGTCGAGGCAGATCCATGCGACTACTTGCTTTAAGTAGCATTTCACATAGACTTAACCACAATAAATGTGCGTCGCTTTGTCAGACAGCTGGAAGTGTAAGGTACGATCGTAAGCCTACTACTGCTACTTTTTTACAATTAATGCAGAGGTGTGTGTGATAGAAATGGTGATAGGTAGAAAGAACCAAAGCAGATTTACACGCTGTAAACTAAATTCTCACATCATATAGTCGGTGTGACTAAGCATCTCAATTTATGCACGGCGGGGAAGGTCCTGTTAAAGATGGAAAAGTTCAAGGCAACTCACTCTACATCGGGTACCTCCGCTAGTAGAATTATATTACAACAAACAGTTTTCCTTTTTGTCTAGAGGATGAATAGATTTACTTTTGAGGTTTTCCTATTCTATAAATGGTCTAAATTACTCAATCTATAACTAAAGATATTCACATCTGACAAAATTTCGATAGCATGTAAGTCCTGTTGCAAGTACTATACACATTTTCTAAATCTTGTCATAAATTAGCACTGACATTTATTTTCTTCTGAAAAAGTAAAAGTGAGACTTGTTTCACTTACCATACTCCACCCATACAGATCTTTGTATGTTAAAATAATTAATGGTAAATCATACTGAATTTGATTTCGTTTCACTGTTTCTAAACTGTCATCACGATAACCAGTTATGCCTTCATCTATCGATAATAAAACTAATTTAAGCCCATACGAATGACGTTCATTCAACAATTTCATAACATGAGCCAACACCGTCGAATCTGTTTGTAAAATAAGAAAAACAAAATGATCAGATAGTTTGTTTCGAGAAAATTTACGTAAAATACAATAGTTACAAAATACCTTTGCCTCCCGATGCCGCAATCGCAACTGTTTCGCCTGGCTTGAATAAATTTTCGTTAATAATAGTTTCATGTATTTCATTTTCAAATGCATCAAAAAAACACAATTTACAATAAGCTTCGCCCGATTTTGGTCTCACTAATGTTGCTGAACGTTCCTTGCAGCAAACACACACACTGGGCATCTCAAATCTAGAAAAAGAATACTAACAATATGTCTCAATTAATAAAAACATTCGTTTAGCAATAAACGATTGTGGCTTCTGATAAGTTCAACATTATCCTCTTATTTTTATCAGAAAAAAAGTATGTGCACGATAAATCCCTCCGCGAACTTTTAAGTACAAAACAAATCAATTTGATAATAAAAAAATTGCACATAAAGTGTAAACTAAAATAACGATGATCAAAACAAAAGATGCACAAAGTGGATTATGAGCCAAAGAAATAGCTTTAGCTATTAATATAAACATATCGTTACTTTTCTTTTTTTTACGCAAATAAACAAAAAAAGCAACATTTGTTGTTTAGATTAAAACTAAAAATTAATATTTACAAAAACCCAATACATTCGTACAACAAGAATTGGTACGCTAAAATAATTGTGAAAACGCCTTTATCATCGAAATTGAAACACACTAGAAGTTTTTTGTGGTACATGTTTTAAACGTAAACTTTGATACCATTCAGACTGTTTATGATAGTAATAGCCATCAATTTCGCCCGTAGATAATTGTAAGCAAATATAATAAAATCCAGCAAATGATGCGCCTATAACAAATAAAGAAGTGTTCAAACTTATATGTAGGCATATATGATACAGTTTTGTATAAATATATTGCTATTTTATTTGGCGGAGTCGAAAATTTGAAATTTTTGCAACTTGGATGCATTGGATATGTATCAACGAGGATAAAAATAGTTTCAAGATTCTGTTTGTGCATTTTAAGGACACTAGGAGTAACAAAAAATAGCAAAGAAAATCATTAAATTCATACCAGTTATATCACGTATAGTGTGATCTGGCACTAAAAAATGTTCTTTCCATCGCATAAATATATGATCGACATTTTTTCCATGCAATAAATTATTATAATCGAAATCATCGTTGTTAAACGTTTCTGTGTAGGGACAGAATGCTTGAAATTTACCCCAATGCCGTCGATCGACATCTTCATCAGCTTCCCATTTTCGAGTAAGAAACGGAAATTGTTTGCTAATTATTTCACCGTCAAAAAATGTAGTCAATGTCGGATATTCATCGGTTAAGCCCTTAATCATTAAATACCCACATATATAGGAACGTTCTAAATCTACATGATGAAAAATAACATCTACATCATACGATTTCCCTTTTGATTGTTGACTGCCAGTAAAACGAGACGATGTACGAAGAATATCACGTTTAGATAGCCGCAAATTGAGATCTGATAATTCTAATGCTCCAATTAACTTCATCTTGCAATTACTTCACAATAAGAAACACTCTGTATTCATGATCTAAAATGATATAAATTATGAGCCTGCTACCATGTACTCTGTAACAACCATCAAGCTCGTGCATGGCTATCCCAAACTGTAGAGATATTATGACAGCATATTAGCTAACCTTTCTCTTAAATTTGAAAGGATATGATTAGAATAGTGAATCACATTCATAAAAGGGAGCAAGATAAGCTACAATGACGATAGAAAACGACAAATCATTTTAAATTAACCTTGTGAAAAATGGTGCATCCACCAATCAGAAAAAGGCTAATCTTTTCCTTTTTCGGTATAAAAAAAAGAATGCTTGGACTGCACTTTAAATCTGTCCATTTTTAAATATTAGTTAAGCATAAAGGTCAGTGCTGCATAGAAAGTCATATTTCGTCACAAATATAGTCACTAAAGCGGCTTACTGTTAACGCTAAATTGGTTGGAATTACAAGCAATAGGATGCTTTTCTTTCAAAGTACAAAAGTGTGACAATGTTACGTTTAACATTGTCACACTTTTAGCATGACATTGTTACATATTTACCGTAATATTTCGGGATAGTGAAGGTAACGCTCGTGTGTACTCGCTTTGTCCTTCATTCTATGAACTTATATCTACGAACAACCTCCCATGAGTTTCGAATCCAACACAACGCTCACGCCTTCCTTTGTTCGCTAGGGACTGTGTGAAATTTGTTGTGAAGTTTTCTCTGATTTGATGTCTAAAGTTCGTAATCTAATGTAAATCTAAAAAGACTTCACATGATCCGAAAAAAGATGTCTAAAAAATATTTGAGTTCAAGAAAATGCTCAGGCCTTCCTGCAGTCGGAGTTCACAGCAAAGATAGCTGAGAAATGTTGTGAACACCTCTGATTCCACAGAAAAAGCGCTTCACGGAAGATAACGCTAAAAAGGTTTTCTAGACACCTTGAAATGAGCCCAGGGGTGCTAGAAGTATTTCTTATCAGTGTGATAAATATTCTGGTGTCTGACGACATCTATCCCCGGACTATAGAAAAAGTTTACTTTGCTTTTTTTCTTCCTTCATCGGCAGATATTTGCGGTGGTTAAAACAATTCTCTATTGTTCTTCCTTATCATTGACTTATCCATGGATTATCTGACAGCCATTTTTCCGTATTTTCGGCAGAGGCAGACACACAAACAACCATTTTGCACGACCGTAGACTAAAGTCAACGGAACCACAGAGGCGTAGTGAGAAGTTAAGATTAAGATTAAGATTCACGGAAGTGTGAGTCATCAAAGGTCACCGACCTGTAATAACAATGACTCAAGCCAAGCAACATCAAAAGAGTAAAAAAAGAACAGAATAAACAAGACAACTAACGTTAGAACCAGGAGTAGCAAAAAGGAAAGAAAGACAATAAAAAAGTTTTAAAAAAAAATAAGAAAAAAAGAACAAATATAAATTCATAACTGACATGTTTCACTGGAAGAGATACTGGAGTAAAGCTGTTTTGAAAGACGTTAAAGAAGACAAATAACTGACTCTGGAAGATTATTCCAATCAGTAATAGTTGAATAAAAAAAAGAAGCATGCACTGTTTGCGGAGAAAAACCAGTTACCTGACAATGTCGGCTGAAAATAACAGGTAGCTTCAGCATTGATTAAAAACTAGTCGTCAACGCTCTGAAAAATGTATACATTTCGTCGAAATATGGGAATATAAACAATGAAATTTTGTCTTCCCTTTTTCTCTGCACCAGCGAAATCTGTGAACGCTGAACTGTACGTCTCAACAATCTCAGTCACATGGTTACGAGACCATGCGCGTATTGTCTCTAATTCCTGATATTTCTTGGATATTTATACAATACACGGATCAGTTGTATGATTTATACGGTTCCTCCGATTATTTTGTCATTGAGCTGCATGATTCGTACACTTCGTTAACACTTTTCATGTATGGCAGGCCGACACATTCAGATGAGTGTTCAAAGGTTCATCGGTAGAATCAAAACGGATTGAAGGGTATGAACCATGCGGTCGAATGACAAAATAATTGGATGAACCGTGGGAATCGTTTTTGATTAGTTGTTTCTATGGCAATATTAATTTGATTGGCTTGAACAACTGTGTGAACAAACGCCTTAAATCCTTGGCCATTTTTGAGAGTCAGCAGAAAGTTGTGCAAAATACTTAAGGCTGCTTTAATCAATAGAAGAGTGTGCAGGTGTCGATATTTTCTGTTTCATGTTACATTAATGAAAAGAAAAGAATAAATGTAAAGAATTGTTCCTTGCATGTACACCACGCGCATGTCAACACTCTTATCCTATTCCACGAGTCTTACCTCTTGCCATTTCATACTGGACTCTTTCGTTTTGTCACAAGAGTTGAGAGATTGCTTTTGGCAAGCTATAGCACTGTTACTAAGAATGAACAGGTTTTATGTACGTCACAAATGAAGAAACAGTATCCAAATAGCGAAAAATATTTGAGATGGCTAAAGTAGCAGAAAGAGAGAATAAAACAGACATTGATGATTTAACCCCAAAATATGATGATGACTTTTTCTGATGAACAAGAGCCAAAAGCATTAGTTAGGCAGGAGGAAGATTGCAGTAGTTAGACACAACAGATTTGTAGAACTGTATTAATAATTAATTTTCAACAGAGGATCAGTGTGCATAAGACTTGAAATTGGCTCTCCACCTTTTATTGCCCCACTGTGGGCAAAGCTCAACAAAATCATCTTATTCGATGATTTCGACCCTTCCGGTTGGACGTATCCGACGAAATCTAGTCAAAAACAAACAAATCCATAGCACCATCAGTATGACGGTAAACGGACAGATATCAAAAGCCAATTTTAGAATCGCACTTGACCAGACTTTGTGAGATATCGATTAGATGTACATTGCTGAATCATACGTTAGATCGAGCAATAGTCAAACTGATTCTTGTAAATATCTTAATCATAGTACAACTACCATCTCTAATACGCGCGAGTTTTTGGATTTTTTCAGTATAAAACTCTTTTGTTTGTGTTTAATTGTATTGTATTTTTTTCTGTGTCAGTTTTACGGAGCGATGTTTCCGAATATAAGATGATAAAGTAAATGCATTTTAAAATGGCTAAAACGAATTTAATTTCTCTCTCTTCTGTGAAGTATGCTTCATCAAAACCGATTGTCCAATGTAAATCATCAAAAATCGGGAAAAGTAACGTAGTTTTGAGGAAGGAATCTGATAGTGCTGATTATTTGAAGAATAAAGAAGACAAAAGAATGCATTATAAATTAACGCGTGTCATACACAAATATCTTTTAACTCCAAGAAAAGCATTTTCAAAAGACTGTTCGATTATTGAAAAACAACCATTGATGGAGATCCCAGACACCAGTCTTTTCCCAAATAAATTGAAAATAATGGACAAAAATGTTTGTAATAATACTGACAAATCAATGACAAATATTGTACATGATTCAAGTATTTCAGAAAAGAAACTTGAACAAAATTTAATTGATAATAAAAGTCAAATAATTAAATCGACAGTTCTAAGTGAAATCCGCCAGAATATCACGGTGAGCAAAGATGAACAAACCGTCATACCGTTTACGACTATGGCGGATATCGCATTACCCTTCAAATTAAATTCGTATCATAAAAATTGTATATACAAATCCTCACAAAAAAACGGTAATAGAAACTATACTGTGATTTTAAGCGAAAACTGGCTCCGCTGAGAATCACAGAATACATGAACAGTTTTATTCTTTCAAAGAGGCAGATTTCAATCGACCCAATACATCAGGACAAATCAACGAAAATAATTCAAAATTGAAAACGTTCAAATACAGTTATCCATCATCAGTAGGTCTTCTTTTGCATTTAACACAATCATATAGTTAACGTATGTTGCTTAGAACCGTTAGATGATAAACATTTTCTCTGCAGTGACATCTAATGAATGAATATTGTTTTCTTAGTTGGGACAAGTACAGAAAGAACAACGACAAGTAAAATTTTTTGATGAAAATAATAAAACTCAATCTAATAATATGAAGGGTAACGCTAGCATTGTTAAACAAACACGAAATTTTTCAAATTCAAAAATACGCCTTCGTCGATTACAAAGTAATCTTTTCAGTTCAAATAAATTAATGAGAACAATAAATGACGAAATGATTTCTTCCAATTTACATCAAATCCCAACATTAAAACCATCGAGTAAATCCTCAGTTGCTCATCGTATTGAACTCTTAAAACAAGCGATGAAAACAGATCAACGCGTTGAACAAGTTGAATTTCGAGATTGGAAGCACAGTAAAAAGTTAGTGGAAAAACAAACACATGACAAAGAGACACTCGGAGAAAATGAAAACAACAAAGAAAATAAACAAAAACTTCTATCAAAACATACACAAACTCTGCATCAGTCCGAACAAATAGAGCAACTAGTTACACCTCAAATACTATCCGATTTAACCGAGAAGGAATATAATTTAGCGACAAGTAACAGTATTCATACAATCGAAAACTGTTTACATTATCATCATCATTATCATCATCATTTATCAGAGACTCCATCATCAATGCCAATAATTCAAACTATCTCACAAGTGTTAATATCACCATGGAGAACGTTAATATCGCTTACAGGCACATTCACGATTATTTTTATTTTAATTCTTGCCATTATATCTGAATTTATAGCATAGTTAACTGTAAAAGTCATAATATGGACATTTTATTCGACCATATACTAATAGCTAAAATTTTGCTTCAGAATGCACTTTTCTTCTAATAGAATTGTGTGTGTCCAAAACAAAAGTCACAAACATGTAGCCTCTCATTACTTTTCCGTCATACATATCTAAAGTTAATTAAGAAAAGATTCAAAATACCTACGTTTCGAAGATGTTGCCGAAATGAACATGAAAAAACGCTCGCAAATAAGTTCTCAAAAGTTGTTTTCGGAAAATCAATGTTTTTATTCGATTAGACACGTTTACAAAAATAAAACATCTTCAAAAGTGTCGAAACACATTTCATTAACATCATTAATATTCCAGCATTTATCTATTCTAGAAGTAAATGTCCAATTTTGACATGGAAATTACAATTCTTAATTCATCTTCGTAGAAAAAGCTGACAATGATCCACGATACATGTTGTTAAATGACTGTAGTGATGCTAGCTTTTGCCAGCATGTATTTAGCCAACATTATTTTGTTTAATTATATTTCTATTTAATTGAGCATAAGCTGTTAATATTCAACTAAAACTGAGAAAAATTATTGTCATCAAAGTATGACATTTCTCAATTACTATATACACATACTGACATTTTGAAGATCATTTCACATACATCCACATCGTTCATCGATAATATTCGACTATTTTGGCAAATGTTGAGTATCTACAAAATCATTTCTATCAAGAAAATGTTGTCTGAGAATTAAAAATTCATTGTGAAACAAAAATATGGAATATTTAGATATAATTAAATAAAAACACTATACTTTTTAAAATTGTGATCATTTTTTTATTTGAAAATGCTTTTAATATTGAGGATGGTTTAATTCAACATCATACAGAAAAATCTTTTCATCAGATTTCTCAAAAATTGAAGTTCTACATAAGTTTTCATTGACTCTATTCGTATAAATGTCCTATTCTGTTTAGTGAAAAATAGTTTGTTGACTTTGTATACCGTAGAGTTCTCATTTTCCGGTATTGACAGAGTGGATCGATACATACTGTAAGCGAAAAAGGAAAATATTAACATTTTATTGGATACTACAGTTATTTTGAACCAAGTAGATTTTCTACTAGTCTGTTTTATTATGACAGTATATTCATTATCGAGGTATTTGTAAAATACACTATTATCCACCACCGTTGTCAAATTTTGGAAAAATTCTTTTTCAGATTTTCCAAATGTTTGAGTATACAGTTTTGTTCAGTATTTTTTGCTAATCACAGTCATATAGCTTTCTCGAAATTTTGGGGGGTTGAAAAACAGTCTTAACGTCACATATCCCTTGCCATCGATTCCACTATATTTGGGCATATTTTGCACATGATCAATAGCAAGTCGGCTCAGTCACTAGGTATTGTATGAGCTGTGCCTAAAAAAATCCCCGTACATTATGCTCCAATTATGAATAGATCTTCCTACTTTTCAATGCAAGCAGAATGTTTGAAATGATAGTGCACGAAAACCTTCTAGCCTATTAAAGGTACATTAACGTTTTCTCAAATGCCTCGAGACCAAATCAAGGACTGCCGATGCGCTTCTTCATGCAACCATGGAGTGAGGAAAGCTTCTCAAAAAAAGATCCAAATTGTGTCATCTTAATTTGGAAAAAATTAATTCGATTTTTATTGATCGAATTATATACCTCATTGCAAGAAAATGTTTTCGTGTTGTTATTGATAAAATATTCAGCTCATTTGTTGGTAGACTTCCAAAATCTAATGACCTCTACTGGACTCAAGTTTGCTTTTTCCCTCTTAGCTAAGACACGAACATCTGGAGTGCTTTAAGGTAGTTTACTTCGTCGTTTGCTCTTACTCATATTTATCTATAATCTGCTCGATTTCCGTCTTTCTGCTACCACTACCTCCTTATTTATTGATGACGTCTTCTATGTGGTCCTTATTAAAAACTTCTTAAATCCAATAGAAGCGCAGATAGTGTTAGATAGTATGGCGGAGTGATGGACTAAAATGTTTGGAAACTCAAATATTTACAAATGTGTTGTTATGCCCCCTTCCAATTTATCAGTTAGAGCTATTGAAAATTTAACGTTATCCGGCAGTCGTTTGATAATCACGTTAAGCTTCTAGAAGTCTATTTATCTCACGATTCCAAGTGGAAATATCATAGAACTGAAACAGTAAAATAATGCAGACAAATATTGGGTGTGCTTCATCATACTTTCGATGCTACTCCTTCTTCTTTGCGTTTATATATATATATATATATATATGAGTGAATTGCATAGCCATTATACCGTTTGAGAAAAAAAATACGATAATAAGTTTCAAATAAACAAAATCGGAGTCGTACGTTTGATAGAGCTATATAGATTGTGTACAAACATAATATTTCCCGGTACTTTAGAGTTTGAGAAGGTGAACAATGATTTTGAAGAACTACTCAATCCGTAGTACTAGGTATTTTCACACAGGTTCGCCCGCTTTATACAAAAGTTTCAGCGGAACGAATCTTACTATGCTCATCAGACAGAGCATGTCAAGTTACATATAAATCGATATTTTTTTATTGAAAAACATTAGTCCTTTGGTGGTGAAACAGTGCTTTCAAAAGTACCTAACGATAGCGCTATGATCTTTAGAAAACGGTATTTTCGAGAGGAAAAACGCTTATCGTTTTCTCAAAATAAAAGACAACGTATAGACTTAATAAGCTTTTTGCGATGTCAGGCGAATAGCCCGGATGTCAACGAATCGTATGATGTACGATGAGTTGGAATTTTAAGTTATTTTGATCGAAATATAGACAAGACAATCTCGGTGGACATTTTCAATGTAAAATGAGATTTTCTCTGTAACAAGGCGCAAGCAAGAGAGTTGCCGTTTTTATCACATATTCTGGACAGCAAATGAAAAAAAGGGTAAAGGTTTCGGCTCTAACGGATAAACGGTTCCGTAGTTATAGACCAAACAATTTTCAAAATCTTGGTGACCAGATGAAAGACATGTTCATCTTGATTTTTGATTGAATAAAAACCTCTAAAAGATTTTCTTTTTTATCCAAAATGTAGAGCGTTGTACGCTCTATCTTTCTGTCTATTTTAAACCTCTTCAGGGTTCGTCATTGGCATATTAATGTAATTCTAATCTCGGTGGACAGAATTTTGCAAAAGTATTTGTAACGAGAGTTTTTTTGATAAAACCAGAGTCAAAATATGATTTTATTTAAATTCAAAGTACGTATTCTGAAAATCTACTTGACAGGCTACAAGAAATGCTAAAAAACTTTTAGAACTAGTTTAAATAAATCAGAGAAAAAATTTGATTGTTTCTCCAGATGGTGTCAAAAACAGTCAACTTTGTCTTGTTTGATCTATATCTCAGCACCCACTTGAAACGGAGAGTTCTTTTTCTCACAAGTGAATGACCATTACAGAACAAACAACATAAAAAAACGAAATTTAAAATCGGTTTAGCAGAACAGTTTTTATAAGCAAAACATTCTCCGACAACCAACGGTACAATGGCTATGCAATTCACTCATATATATATAACCTGTATTCTTCTGTTAATGGACTACGGCTCTTGTATATACGATAGTGCCTCAGGTCACACTTAAGGGTATCGTCTAAGGGTATAGTCTGAGTGAAGAAAGTGTTCTCGTCATAATGAGACGTCCTTCCAAAATTTTTTGATTATTTTTCGTGGAGATATAAGCAAATATCATGAAGAAAACGATCTATGTATAAAATGTGTTTTTCTCACTGTTTTTTCGACAACAATGCCCAGGTGTAGATCAGATCGTTCTTTTTCATTCTATCATCTTTTCTTTTCGAGTTATAGGGCTTTGAAACCGAGTTTTCTAGAAAACTCGAGAATCTTGATAGCTAGAGGATAGCCAAATCTTGCTATAAAACGAAAATATTTCAGACTTCTTCATTTATATAAAATTATGATTGATCACAGTGTCTGTCTCATTTCAATCTTCGTCAACCATTATTGACCCTAGTGTCAGATAAAAAATAATAAATGTAAATGGGAGATACCGTTGTACTCTAGAAAGTAAACAGCTCATTGCTTCTATCGAAAACCACCACTGAGTTTAACTCAGTATCAGGGTGAGGGGCCTTGTGCGTTTTCTGCCTCTCACAAATTTGTTACACATGTACAAGCATTTTTACAGATGTCTTTTATAATTGCGTTGCTGTCAAAAATGAAATCAATTGACTTGAACAGTTGAAAATTAATCATATAATGGTATAGAATTAAAACTGTTTTATAAGCATCATTTGTTTCAATAATCTCATTAAGTTGGATCTTTCAATTCTTAAACAAATAACATAAAATTGCTCACATTTGTTCATATCGCTCTATGGATTGAAAGATTATTTGAACAAATATTATTATCCAGTCGTCTATTTCATGAGATGGGTTTAATACTGTAAAAAAATTGACAATAAAAATAAAACGGATAGAATTTAAAATCTAGTTTTAATGCTTTTTGAATATATCTTCTTGAACAAATTTCATTTCTTTTGCAATAAAGTTCCATCTTGCCTCAACAAATTCCTTTTTCACCGAATCGTAAAATAATTCAAGTCTATTAGTGCGTGATGAAACTTAAAAAGACTTGTATCTCACAGGTATATCCCCGGAACAAAAAAAATAAAATTGGTTTTGAGTTGATGAAAAGTGCTTTTTCGTATTTACCACACCCGATAACCCAGAAGATTTTCTTTTTTGTCGACGGGGTACTTCCAAAAGTTTCGGAAAAATTTTGAAACAAAATAGCACAAAAATATTTCCATGAGAAAATAAAATTAGTTTGAAAAGTTTTCCGAAACTTTTGGAAGTACCCCGTCGCCAAAAATAGAAAATCTTCTGGGTTATCGCGTATGCTAAATACGAAGCACTTTTCAGCAATTCAAAGCCAACTCAATTTTTGTCCGGTGACATGCAAATGTTGAATGGCGTCCACTGACTTGTTTCTTTGATT